GCCTCAGATAGAGAACAACACACAACGCGGCATCTATATATTTGTATCTATGGTACATGACTAGCAAACACAGCTTTGAACAGTTCACACACATAAAATCATAAGATTTGTATTAAAAAACAAAAAAAAAAATTACTTAAATGCAGAAAATATGGGTTTCAGTAGTGACAACTCCTAACGCCATGAGGGACAGGGATGCAGTCTCACTTCCTGCTGTAGAATGCAGGGGCGTGGCTAAAATAAGCCTCCACCTATGGACTTAAACTCTGTGTTTCCATAAGGACATGAAAACGTCACACAGCATTTTTTTGAATAAAGTTTTTGTTTTTATTTAAATATTCAACTAATAATTCATCTAAATCCTTCAGCTTCAATTTAAAAGAAATCAAAAAAGATTTTCAAAAAAGGTTGAAAAAAATACCCCCAAAAAAATATATTCTCAAGTCGAAATTGAGGGGTAAGGGTTTGGAACAGACACCTCCCAAGAGAAATTACCCTATCAATAATGATTTTATATATTTAGCTTATTACACTAGCATTCTCTTAATTAATATCTTTGGTTTAAATAGGTCATAACAAAAAAAAAATCTAAGATCTGAATTCTAGTTTTTTAGTAGTTTTTACTGTGGGACTATTATTTGTTTTATATTCTTCACAGTTGTCTTTCAAAGAGAACAGGGATCTGGGATGAACTGTAAAACAGATTAAAATGTGTTTCCTTCAAGGTCAGACAGCTTTAGAAATGGGCATAAACTAAGCAGTGAGAGCATCTCTTCTGTTGTTTTAGTAATTATCTTGCATTTGAAAAGCAGTGATAAGACTTGTAGTTTAGCTAGACATGATGTTCTCCCCTGAACGTTCTACCTTGAAATGCTGTTGGCTTCCAGAATGTTTGACTGGTGATATTTCTAACAGTTAGAGCAGACATGTACTAAGGACTAGTGAAAAAACAAAAGGCCTTTAAAAGCTGATTTATAAATGGTCTAATTTGTCTTTTCAGGTGAGAACATTGTGGGCCACTGAATTTATTTGAGTGACAAAAGGAAAGACTGAAAAAATGTGTCATTACCAGCTGCGCTCCCTGTACTTACGTCGTAAAAATGCTTCCACCTGGTAGCACTTCACAGCTTTTAGGTGCCTGAAGTGGCCTAACATTGCATGTAAGCAAATAATAACACAGGCATCGAAATTCCTTAGGTGTTGATAGAGCCAAATATTTTAGTAGTTATGGCAGCCATCTGGTTAGAAAAATGGCATTGTGGAGTGTTTTGCCCAAAACAGTTACTGATTAGCCTTGACGTCAGTACACAGAAAGTCCTGGTCCATATGTGGCCTCCATTTGCGATGTGCGCAACTGTGAATGAAACCCTATTATCAGCCAGTCGCCGAAGCTCGCTTTCAGGGCCAGGCAAAGCTAATGAGCTCTTCACTGGCTCACAACCTGTCTCCACAAATAAATCACTCTCTCTGTCTCCACATATCTCCATTAGTGTTCCACGGCACCTATACTGTCCCACAGAGCACAAAAAGAGAATGAAGAGTGTTTTCCAGAAATCTGTCAGTTGGACTGCTATTTTCAAGGGCATGGAACTCAAGAGCAGCCTGGCCTGTTTGTAGGGAAGAATCTTTGACATCTAATCAGTTTTTTCTAAAAGGTTTTTACTGACAGGCAGCAGTCAGATGGCTGCATGACACCTACAAAACCCTACATAACCCAAAAAACACTTATTAAGGCTCATTCCAACAAGCATCAGTTATCATAAAGGCTTTTTGCTCACATTTGACACTTGTTGGAATAAGCCTTTATTGAGAAAAAGTATTTGCCCCCTCCTGTTCTGTTTTTGCATATTTCTAACACTTAATTGTTTCAAATCTTCAAACAAAATAAAAGACAAAGAAAGCCTAAGTAAATACTAAATAAAGACTTTTAATGGTCCTTTATTTTTTTAAAGGAAAATAGTTATTCAACATTAAGTGGCAGAGAGAAAAAGTAACTGCCCCCTAGTTAACCAGTGAACCAATGGACGAAGTTTAGTTGATTGCTGAAAGTGGAACGTTTTGGAAGACAGTGTCCTATTACATCTGAAGTAAAGCTAACAGCATTCCACAATAAAAATATCATACTAACACTCAAATGTGGTGGTAGTGCGATGGGTCGGGAATGCTAGAGACTGACACAGCGTCAGAAAAGCAGTCCCCCAGGGGATTTCAGTTAGGACGCTGTGTCAGCTCTCTCAGACTAGAAACAAGTCTGTGTGCTGAGAAAAGCCGCATCGCCAGCGTTGAAAAAGTTCAAACCATTTCAACTTTTGTTGCAACAGATTCTGACATGGAGGCAGAAGACGAATATAAATCCAAGATGGAGGACAATAGCGACGCTGTGTAGTCTTTTCCTGTTCTATATGAATTCTTTGCCTTCGTGGCTGTGGTCTGCTTGGCTCTGTATATACCCATTGCCAAAATTCTCTTTTGATGGTACGTATTTCTTTATTTCTGGTCCAAATGTTTTGTTTCTCGCTAGATTTCAAACTGTACAAACTCCAGCCCACTCCGTGTACATGCCTTCTAGATGGACAAGATCTGCATCTGTGCGTCTACCGCTCTGCCCTTGCATTGTCCAATGTAGGCACTCTTAACTGACCATTAATAGCAAACCATTATTAACCATGAATTCTGTTCTCTAGAGAACATGCTGCAGGAGAATCTCTGGTCATCAGTCCATCAACCAAAACTCAGCTGGGTTCTGTAGCAAGACAACGATCTGAAACTCAAGGGCAACATGTCCTCTGAATGGCTAAAGATAAACAAAATTAAGCTTTTGGAGTTGCCCAGTCAAAGTCCTGACTTGAGCCCCATTGAGATGCTGTGGCAGAATCTTAAGTAAAGCAATTCATGCTCAAAAGTCCTCCAATGTGGCTGAATTAAAGCAATTCTGTGGAGAAGAGTGTGTGAGAATTCCTCCACAGTAATGTGAAAGAAGCAGTTATAGAAAGCAATTGGTTGCTGCTAAAGGTGGTCCAAAAAATTATTACGTTTAAGGCATCAAATAATTTTTTACATGAGTGACACGTGTGTTTTTGCTTCAGTGAATGAAATGATCAGTTAAAAACTGTGTTTTGTGTTTTGGCAGGCTTCCATGTCTTATACTACATTTTGTTTGAGGATCTAGAGCAGCAAATGTGCAAAAATAGAGGAAATCAGGAGGGGGCAGATAGTTGGTAGGTTAATGTTAGTTGTCATGAAAGACGAATGTTGGTGTCATGTAGCCTTATGAGCACTAGCCTTCAGTTAAGGGTTACTGCATTAAGATGACACATGACAGGCTAGCAGACAGAGTAACACTAACACTCTAGATAACACTGACTTTTACACTAACTAACACTGACAAGTAGAGGTTTGCTTCCAGTAACATAAGGCCCTTGATCCCGAAATCATCTATGATGTCTTGAGAACATGCCTCTTGGCAACTGAGCGTTCTTAAAAAGCGTGTTTACAATATCCACAAGTCAACAGGTTAAAAATAACGCACGGCCCAATAAGGAATAGATTTTTAAAAATATCACTATTTTGACAGAAAGAACTTTCACTCCTGTGCCCAAAGACCATGTCAATAATATCCTTTTAGCAACCCTAAGAAAATCTCATGACTCAGAAAGTAACAGCGGCAGGCTTTTGAGCGTTCTGCAAATGTCGTCAGCAGCTCGTGTCAATAAATGGCAGGAATGTCAGGAGGATTAAAGGGTGCATTTGAGTCTTAGAAAGATGTGCATTCATGCTCATGAACCTAATGGACTGTTTCTGTGGGCTCACATCTATTTGAGGACAATTACTGAAATGGAACCCAAACTCAAGGCCTCACTATCCAGTGGAAACAACATTGAGCATGAGAACTCTTTTTGAAGAGGTGGCTTCTGTTTTCTTGGAAATGTCAGTGCAATAGGTCTCCTACTGAAAAGCAATACAGCATCCATCTCTTTGAAATGTTGTGTGTTCGACTGAATGAAAAACGCTGTACTCTGAATTTCAAATGAGGTCCCTGTAGCTAATGACACAGTCCACAGATGGGACACAAAAAGCCTCCACCAAAGCCGGTCAAAAGCTTTCAATAGTCTGTGACACATTCTTTTCAACACCTGGCATTGGATTGTGATGTTTACAATGGGCCAGTGAAAGCTGAAATGATGCCACATGTTAGCCATTTGGAAGACTCTGTTCCAATGCCGCAGAGGGAGAGTCAGGTGGGCCGGTGGCATTTTGGACTGGTTACTGTCATCTGATATATAAACTCATGCATATAAGCTGAAGAAGCTTATATTTCAAACATACTATAAACGTGACATCCAAATGCATCTGTAGTAACTTAGGTTAAACCAGCAGCCACCATCTCAAGTGGGAAAGCCTCGGTTTGCTGATAGTAACTGTGTCTTGTATAGTGGATAAAGATTAGAAATAGCTGAAGTTTTAATTTCCGATTCCACTTTAAATTATGTAGCAGTTACATTCAAATGCCTGTATGGGCATGAGAGTGTAAATGCTGCACTGTTTCAGGTTTAGCAGAAATTTCAATAAGAAGCTAACATCAGCCTCGAGAGATTCAAATTCAGTGAATCTGATACTGGCTCACACTACAGACAGTGCTCTACAGAGTTCAGCACTTTTTGCATTCCCAGTGTAGTAGTTTTTAGTAGGTCAGTAGCAGAAATTTGTGGTAAGAATTGCAAAAAACCAAGGATGAGGACATAACCGAGCAAGTGGGAAATGTTGACCTTTACTTACTTAGCTAGCACTAGTTTGTAGCATGATTGACTGTCATGATTAAGTCTCATCTAAGATAAATGTTTTCCCCAGTTTTCATTTTATATAAATCCGATTAAGTTATTTTGTACAAAGGCAGTGCTGTGCGTGTGTGTGTGTGTGTGTGTGTGTACAGCAGGAGAATTACAGTTTACGGTGGGCTGGTCTGCAAAACAAGCCCCACTCTGGCCATCCTCTGTACTTACCGTTACAGGTCTTCCCATCAAATGTTGCACAGACCCAGTCATGGCATTCGCACCGTGGCCCATAGTACTTCCCAGGGTCAGTGACTTGGCATATGCAAACCCCACACTCGCACTCTCCCCTCCCGCTGCAGATCAGGCCATCGGAAGTCTGGCAGCGTCTCTGCGAGGACTCGGTGGAGAGCTTGCATACTCCACCCACCTGCCTGCAAGACACACAGCATTCACCTCTTTGACCTGTGCACTTTTGCACCCTGGCTGCTTTGTTTCAGTGCTCTAGATAGAATCTCCATGTGCCTAATAGCAAATGCATGGAGATCTGAAAAGCCAATCTAACGACAACCAGACTCTGTCATCCGGGCTGTAAATCTCCTTTGGCTCCCCAAAATGATTCTTCTTGGAGACTTTCAGATATAAAAGGGGAAATCCACTGATTTTGAACATTGTACATAATTACATGGTTAAGATGCAATCATTTAGAGAGGTTTGATGTGAAATACTCCACTCAAGAGAAACTTACCAACACAGAATTTTTCACAGCGGTGATGGACGAAACCAGGCATTAGAAATGTTTAATGCCTGTATTACCTGCATCACAGGAAGTTATTAGGTGAAATAGTTATGGTCATCAACCAAATATAACCTGACTGACACTAGATACGTTGTTTTGAGATTTTTGGGCTAAATTGTATTTTCTAAAAGCCATTTATGGCAGAGATTGGCAAAACAATCCTAAAGAAAATGGTTTTTTTTTTTTCAAATATACCACTATTTTAACATTAACAACATTTCAGGTTCCGTATTAATTTTGGATAGTAAATATAACAACAACAACAACAACAACATTTATTTGTATACCGCTTTTTACAACTAAAGTTGTCTCAAAGCAGCTTTACAGAAAAGCAGTTTATGGAAGGATCATTGTATAACTGTAACTGTATTTGTATTGTAGATATCATAACCCCTGGCTCCTATCACCACCACTAAAGAAATCTGAGTTGGTGAGTTTCTCTAAAATGAACCATTTCATATCAAAACACTGTTTACATCTCAACCACTGAATTATGCAGAAAGTTTGAAAAATTGATGAATTCCCCTTAATGGATTCTCTAACTTCAAAGGCAATTTTCTCATCTTTTATATGTGTTATATAAGTCATTGTTATCCATAGTCTCATAATATTAAAAATAAAATATCACTGCACTCACAATCCTGTTTGTTTGCAATTAAACTCCAGCACAATAAGGATCTTAAGAGCATTTTGCTCTCATTTCATTTGCATTTCCACAACAGTAGTGATTAACTGCAGTTCAGTGTAGTTTTGGATAATTGCAGGACAGCTTCTGCAGTTTTTTTTGCTATTATCTCATTTCTTGTAGTATTGTTTTCTTACTTTATGAGGAACGAGTGTTTTGGACACTCTACATCAGAGAATATATAATATCCAGCCAAGATAAGCTGTTGGCTAACCACCAAGCAGCAAAACATCTTTCAAACAAAAATACTACTGTCAAGAAAAGTGCTTTCACAACACACTTTTAGGGCTAGTCATGAGCAGCAGCTTTATCTGAGCAGAGATGAACTATCAAGATCTAAATCAGCTAAATTACACCAATATCACTAAAGAGTAGGGATCATTCTAACAGCAGGGCACCGTAAACATCTAAACTAAGCTTGTAATCTAAATTCTACACTGAAAGACCAACAGAAAGAAAGGTTTTACATAAAGTGTAAATGGGTTCACAGGTTTTTTTTTTTTGGCCCTCAAAATCAAACTCAAACTCTGCTTGCATCCAAACAGGCATTCACTGTTGATAGGGAAAACATAAACAAGTCATCAGCCCCAACTCAGTCATGCCCACTCACTGACCCCTTCCATTGCCCACTCACACAAATCACACATCTTTTCAGCATGAAGATAACTTTTAATCCTTTTAAAGATATCCTTTAGTCCACTCTGAAAGAAGTACATTTAGGGAGCCACAGCGTTAGCTAACTTAAGCTATATCTTTACTAAAAGCTGACGCGGCAGCTTCTTCCATCATAATGCCATTTATATATGCAACAGACTGCCAGTGCACAGTGGATACACACAGGTCAAGAACTCATTCCAACAAAGTCACATGATATGTGATGCAGTCAGTGCAGCAATGATTCTGCTGACAAGGAATCATCTCAGAGATTCTTTACATGCATAACTATCATTCTGTTTCATTCTTATTGACGTCCAAAGGGAGCTTAAAGCATATTGAACCATGCATTTCAGTCATCAGGAATGGGACTCATCTAAGGTGAAGCTCTAGGGGAGCGTATCAATGTCCTCAGGACTCCACATTCCATCAGCTCTTTGTATTATACATCAGACTGACACATTATGGTAAAATATGAAAGGATCCATAAGGTCATGATTAGAGTTCTGGGGTCACCCAAGGCCATGCAGGGTCCAATGAGGTGCGGATTTGTCAATAGAAATGCTTTTGGCCTCAGCTAGGCTAGCCCCAGTGAGCTAACCAGCTAGCTAAGCAAAATTTGTAATGCGTTTTTTTCAGAGTGTACCATATATAACCTGAGTAATTACCTTGTCTGATATACGCATCAAGCATCCCTCTTTTTTTGTTGCTAGTTCTGTAGCCCCTCAAGCTTGGTCAAGTTAAGAAACAAACTTGTATCTGCTGACATGTATACCAGATGAAGTAGTTTATCACATGAAAATCAGTTCAAATGTAGAAAATTGAACATCGTGGTCTGAAATATGTAATAGTTAAAATGGATGTTGTGTAAATTAGCAGGCACTTCTGGGAAGGTTCTGCTCCAGGGGCCGTTACAATTACAATTACAGCAAGTTCCTTTCATTCTGACAGGTCAAGATAAGATTTTTCATAAATTTGTATTTCAGAAGCACATCTTTTAATTTAGGAATCTTATCTTAGAGCATCTTATCTCAAGTTAGGAAATCTTAAATTAATGCAAGAGTGCAGTATTCCATACACTTAAGTATTCCGGACACTTGCAACTTTTCCCGTTTTAGTAATAGAAAACATTTTCTTGTCATTTATCACTGACACATCTGAGACTTGTTATATGTCCTTCCATCCATCAAAATGACTGGCAAGACCATTTATGTAAATGACCGTCCCCCAGCACAAAAGGAACATGGCAGGTGGGAGACCTGGGGGTGCGAATGGGGTGGGGAAACTTTCAGGACCAGCTAAAATGTATTTTAATATCATTTATACAACAGTTAGTTCCGGCCACGCAAGCTGATTGGTTGAGAAGCGTTCTAACCGCGCTGATATTTTTCACAAACATTGTATCACTCCGCTAAAACGCCCTTGCTAAGCAACGAGTTTGACAGCTGTATGAGACGCTCAAGCCATTTGAAAGTTTTTACTTCTTACTTTGCGCGAAAACAGAAAATTGATACTTTTAAGATCACATTTGACCTGCAGCCGATTTGGTCAGACTCTGAAGATGAGACTAAACTAAATTCCCAAACTGTCATCACCACTGAGCAAGCTTTTCAGTCGGCAGCTGTGACAAAAGAACACCTAACAACCTGGAATTAGCCAAACATGAACCGAATACCATTCGCCAAACGTGTAGTCTCATCCTCAGAGTCTGGCCAAATCGGACTGAGCCATAAAACTGCCGCAATAAAAAACAAAAAAGCTGCTCAGTAGTAACAGTTCAACTGCCGGCTGTGCAGCGAGTGAGCGGAGCTCGTTACTCTGACGTAGCAACAAACTGCTTGTTAAGGAACTATAATTTGGCGGAAGGAATTACTTACATTAAAACATATTAAATGACACGTTCACGGCCGCTTTAGTGGTAAATTTAAGCAATAGAACACTCGAGGTCGTGTGTTCACGCGTATAACATCATGGCCGTTATGATCTGCGACCAAATCACAGCCGTGATATTTATTTCGCGATAACACACTCCCTCTCGTGTTCTATCGCTTAAATGTACCACTCCAACAAATATTAAACAATGGATTAACACCATAAAACACAACGTATGATATGTTAATGGCCATTTTTACGCAATGAGACTTTCTAAAACATAAAAGTAAAAGTGGGAGAACACTGGACAGAAAGCTGCTATTTCTGTGGAAGCTGGGAAGCTTTAAAATTATTGGCCCAAATATGACCAATCAAAATGCATTTTGGTTGCTAGGCGGATTTTGCAACTACGTATTACATCCTATATGACTTTGGGTATTTCAGAAGTGAATTACTGTACGTTATACCATAGATACACATACCTAGATGCCGCGTAGGGTCCAGCCAGGCACGTCAACGGTGCCGCCATTTTAGGGCTGTCAACAACGCTGCTGGACTGCATTCAGTACCAGAGCGGCAGTTCAAGTAAGATACTGTCCGAAATTATACTATTTCAAAAATATTAGGATTATGTAACGGAGGGAACGCAGCGATCCACGCTCATGTTTGTGAGACGCGTATTGTTTGTGTGATGTTTATGTGTAGATATGGCCGTGTGGTTGGTGAGGCACAGAGAACCTGTTGATGTGATTGTTTTTCCTAGTTTTTATATTAAGCTTATTTCATTTAATAGTCTATTCAGGGGATCTTAACTTTATGTAGTAGTTATTTATTTACAATGATGGGCATTCCTTTGTAGGTAGGTACATTATAGCATGTAGATATTCGTAGTACATTAACTTTAGCAACTTACACGAAGCTGAAGTTAGCTTCTTATTTGCCAGCTTCTTGTTGCAATTTCCACCTTAAATGATGAATCAGCCAGCATCATGTTTGAATTTTCCCGTTCCACCTTAAATGATGCATCAGCCAGCTTTTTTTTCAAATTTTCCGGTTCCACCTAAAATGGTGCAGCTTCAGGCACTAGAAGGTGACTGCTGCATCATTTAAGGTGGAACGGGAAAACTCGAAGAAGAAGCTGGCTGATAGGAAGCCAACTTTAGCTTTGTCCTTCTTACTGTGTTTTGTGGGGTTTATTTTATTTTTATGTGTATTAAGATTAGAAGTGATTCACACATTGATGGATTTCTGCTGGCCAGGACGGCTAATTAGCACGATGAGTTATTAAAGAAATAAAAGCGACCGAGAGCAGTCCGTGCAGCCCAGATTAATCTATGTCTGAGTATTATAACAAAACAAATTTGGTGAAAATCGGTTGAGTAATAAAGAAGTTGTGGCTGATTTAATCCTGAGACTCATCATCT